CCCCCGTCCCCAGCCTGTTCCAGTGCTCGACAGCCCTTTTAGTGAAGAAATTCTTCCTCATGTCCAAGCTAAACCTCCCCTGGTGCCACTTGAGGCCGTTTCCTCTCATCCTATCGCTTGTTCCTTGGGAGAAGAGACCGACCCCACCTCACCACAACCTCCTCTCAGGTAGATGGAGAGAGGGATAAGGGCTCCCCTCAGCCTCCTCTTCTCCAGACTAAACACCCCCAGGTCCCTCAGCTACTCCCCATCAGACTTGTTCTCCAGACCCTTCACCAGCTTCGTTGCCCTTCTCTGGACACGCTCCACCACCTCAATGCCTGTTTTGTAGTGAGGGGCCCAAAACGGCACCCAGCATTCGAGGTGCGGCCTCACCAGTGCTGGGTACAGGGGCACGATCACCTCCCTGCTCCTGCTGGCCACACCATGGCTGATACAAAATGTATGTTTCCTTCTGCCTCCAGTACCAGTTACAACCATTTCAGCTCTGGGCACAGACTCCTCCCTGTTACCATCTTTCCCTTATTACGTTATGAGCCATTAATTTAGAAAAATACTCTGACAATTTCCCCTTTCTCCCCCTTCCATACCTATGTACGTATATATCACTATTTCTACAGCTTTACTTCCCTCTAATTTTGGTTAGATCACGCTGGTTCAAAAACCTCTACAGATATGAGGTTTGTGGGGTTCTGGTATCTGTAAAAGGCTCTTAACTTGCAGCAGATCATGTTGACTAGAACAGTCTTCCCCAGCTGTACCTGGCTCCTCACTGTTCAAAGCTCAAAATCCCGTTCTTTGCTACCACCAAAAGTTTCTGCTGGGGGCAGCAGACTCACAGAGGACTTCCTTGCTCTGTCAAGCCTCCTCAGCAGGTGAGGGCCCTTCTCACGTCTTTATAGATAACCAGCCTGTGCCCTGGCTATTGCCTGACTAGTACAGATGGTAGAGTCTTGCAGCGGCAGGAATGGGAGCTCAGCCAGATGCACCGTCACTGGGAAATGGGGCGTATGGTTCAGCGTTGGTTTTGGCTGCCAGCTTGCAAATAAGTGGAATTGGTGGGGATTAAATTGGTGGCCTTGATTCAGCTGCAGAAGGGACAGCATTTAAGCAGTGATTATTGCACTCGTGGCTTTAGAAATTCTAAATTTGAAAGCTTTAGCGTTGTAGTTCCTGTTTGATGCAAAACTGAGTCCTGATTTTCAAAATGCAATGTTTAGGTCCATCGGGGTGTGCAGAGGAGCTGCTGTGGCTCAGTCTCCTAACTGTGAAGTGACTCTGGGCAGGAAAAAGGCCTCTCTTTCTGATGGGTTTGCCCATATTTCTGTGAAACCCACAGCTGCTTCCAGCACTCAGAATTCCAAGTTAAGGGGGGATGATGGATTCCAGGGCCAAGGGAAGGTTGTAGGCAATGCCGGGCAGAAATGTCTTTTGAACTGTAGGATGGGCAGGGGGGGAGATCAGAGGTCAAACGTCTCTTCTGACTCAGCCTTGGCAAGATGCTCCAGAATTGTCTCTGACAAATGCCAGCACCTTAAACCCGCTCTGGGGGCCAGCTGGCACAGAGCAGCACCTCTGCGGGTGCTGGGGCAGTGGTGCGTTCTCTTACACTGCGTCCTGAACTTCCCGTTGCACCCACCTATAAAACTTGCAGCAGCATTCCTGTCACCAGGGGGCGGGCGCTTTTATTTCTTACCTGGCTTTTCCCCTCCATTAAAATGACCCATCTCTTCAGTCCACTTCCCTGTCTCCCCATCTTTCATCACCTACAGCCGGACCTCTTTGTGGTAAACTCTTTTTTTGCCATTTTCAGTCTATGGTGCGCAGGAGGAATGGAGAGGAGAAAGGGTGGTAACCATCCCTCTTACCTCTTTTTATTATCTAGTGACTCACTTGTGGGCTTAACCTGATGGTTCCCTTTTTCCTCAAGTTCCCAGGCTGCAATACAGAAAATGAACAGAGACACAAGCGATGCCGGTAGAGACGAGAGGCCTTTCCCGTCGGGGGTTAAATGGACGTAGGGGCAAACACTGTCAGTTGTGAAGGCTGCCCTGTTCCACGGCGCCGCGGCACAGCGAAAGGATACTGCTCACAATGCTTGAACAACACCAGAGCAACACGGTCAGGCGGATCCAGAAGATGTCTTTGCTGTGAACTTCTGGCTGCATCAGGTAGGACAGGACAGTCTGAACCAGCATATACACGGCTCCTACTCCGAAGGTCAGGCAGGCTCCAACCACGTGTATGTAGTACAGGATACATTTCT